GGCCGGCAGATCCTGGGGAGGAGGAGGAGGAGGCGGAGGAGGAGGAGGAGGAGGAGGAGGAGGAGGAGGAGGAAATGGGTCCCGTCAGTCTCCTTTCATCAAGGTCTGCCACCGTACCTTGGGCACGTGGCGGAGCGCCCAAGGGCTCACACCATCGTCGGCGGAAGGGGTGTGGGATTCTTCTGGAAGCCCAGGCTATACATGTGTTTGGATTTCAAGGCGTTCCTGCTCTCGAGCTGTTTCAACTTGGCCTCTCGGATGGTGCTACGGCCATGCGCCCAGGACCTCCCGCCCAAGACGACCCCAGCCCCCCCCCCCCCCGGACGTTTCCTGCAGACCCCTCCGAAGCGCTCGAAGGCACGGCGGCGAGATGGACCGCAAGCCACCAAATAAGCTTATCAGGGGGCGCGCAAAAACACAAAAGTACAATTTTTGAAAGGTCGGGTCCACCGAAGCCGTTGTGTCTGGCTGTCGCGGTTGTGCCGCATTGCATGTCAAACCAGAGTCAACATAGACGTATCACCCAAACGCACCCTGAACGAGCTGTTCCGACACCTGCGCCGACGGGCGAGAACGTTCAATGTGGCTGCAAAGTGCTTCATGTGCCTGACCGCCCCTGGGTTGTGCTCACTACATTTGCTGACTAAAATTAAACAAGGCGCTCGCGAGACGAATCGGGACCAGATCAAAGCGCCCACCCCGCTGCTGGGTGAATTGTATTCGGTGAACGCGCGCTGCCGCGCGAACTCTCGCCTAACGAGCACCTGGCTCGGCCAGCGCCACCGCGGCCGCGCCGGTCGAGCCAAACTAGCTGGCCGCTTCGCGCGCGAGCATGCGCGGGCTACGCAGAGATGCACCAGCCAGTGCCAAGCACTCATCGAAATTGCCGCCGCATGGGTTCTGTAAACCAAGTTGCTGGTGGGCCGGTGGGATGGTTGCGCGAGGTGTGGGGATGGCAACTCACTCCGAACATAAATTCGTTGGACACTACATTCTCCTTTTTTTTCTACCCCCCGCCCCCCCCGCCCCCGGGGGTTAACGGGTCACCTATGTGTTCGTACTGACTTCCGCGTATGATTCTGCACGCTCGCCCATCCTAGAGATGAGCACATACCATCCCAGGCAGCCCAGTTATCGCCCCCTCCCCATCCGCCCTGACAGCTAATACTACAATATGCGCGAACACTCGTTTATCAAAAACCGTACTTGGCTGAAACATCCTTTGCAGGAGCGGGACAAAGTGCGCGCGCAGGCGTCGTCGAGCGCGCATGCCGATTATAAAAAACCTCAGGTTTCGTAGAGACTTCAAAATCGTTGTCCCGAATATATATATATATATATATATATATATATATATATATACATATATATATTACAAAAAAAACAGTAACAAACGATTGCGAAACATGGGCTTTCAAAAAAGCATGCGGGCGCGAAGTCTCAAATTCGAAAGGAAACCATCGGTCTCCCTAAATATTCATCAAATGCGTCCAAACGTGCATCTCGCGCGCGCGTGTCGAAATCATTCGAGTGCCCTTGCGCGCCCGTGGGGGGGAGGGGGGGGCGCGATCCCTGTCAAATGACACCGCGAGGGCCACTCGCGCCCGTCGGCCGCGCGCGCACGTCGAAATTCTTCCAAAAGCTTCATCACAGACGTGTGGACAACATCATCGTCGTCGTGGGCGCGATCGGCGTCGGCGCCGTCAGTGCCCTCGCCGTCGTGTTTGTCATCATCGCCACCAGCCTCGTTACTATTATCACCGTGTCTGCCGTTGCCGGCGTCGCCATGAGACCGCGCCCGCCCGCATCACCGACTCGCACGAATGCGGCCGCGCGTCAGGGCGGCCCGCGAGGCCTGCCGGGAAGCTCGCCCCGGTCCGCGCCACCGCGGCCGGGCCCGTCGCGCCAGCCCAGCTGGCCGCTCCGCGCGCAAGCTTGCAGAACAAGTTCGGGTGGGCAGGCGGGACGATTGCGCGAGCGGTGGGGTTGACAACTCACCGCGAACAACATTTAATTCTCCTTTCTCAAAAAGAATAGACTCTACCCCCCCACCCCCGGCGTTATCCCCCCCTTTCGGGTATGTAAATCACATATGATTCTGACCACATGTCCATCCTAAATATGAATTTACACTCTCCCAGGGAAGCCGGTATCTACCCCACTGAGGTTCCCTTGCAAAAAACGATACACGGGGACATTGTTTGCTCTAACATAGCACTTTTTCGCGAACCTCTTGCAAAAAAACGGGACGAAGTGCACACGCGCGCGCCGTCGCGCGCGCATGCCGAAATCCTTCAGAAACTTTCGGTGTCGGAAGGATTTCGCAATCGAGCTTCCAAAAAACATACAAAAAACAATGGGTTTCGCAACACTGATTTGCTAAAAATGCTTCCGCGCGAGCTTTTGCGAAATCTTCAGAAAACCATAGGTTTTTCAATATTTTCATAAAATGCTACCAAACGGGCTTCGCGCGCGCGCATGTCGAAATCTGTCGAACGCCCATGCGCGTGTGCCGTCGCGAGAATCCTCTGCAAAAAATGGGACGAAGTGCAAACGCGCGCGTCGTCGCGGGCGTATGCCGAAAACCTTCAAAACCCATCGGTTTCGGAAGGATTTCAAAATCGTGCGTCCAAAAAACCTACCAAAACCAGGGTTTCGCAACACGGATTTTCAACAAAAGCGTGCGCGCGCGCTCTTGCGTCGTTGTCGTCGTCGTCGTCGCCGTCCTCCCTCCTCCCGCGTCGTCGTCGTCGCCGCCTACGTCGCCCTCTGTCTTTCCTCGTGTTCGTCGTCGTCATCGTCCTCTTTGGCGTCGTGGTCGTTTCCGTCGTCGTTGTCGCCGTGTTCGTCCTTCCTCCTCCTCCTCCCTCGGCGTCGTCGTCGTCTGTCGTCGGCATCTCGTCGTTGTCCCTCCTATTTCGTCGCCGTGGTCGTCGTCGTTGTCGTCGTCGTCGTCTTCCCTCCTCCCTCGTCGTTGTCGTCGTCGGCGTCGCCGTCCTTCCTCCTTCTTCGTCGTTCGCGTCGTCGTCGTCCTCCCTCCTCCCTCGTCGTTGTCGTCGTTGTCGTCGCTGTCGCCGTCGTCGTCCTCCCTCCTCCCTCGTCGTCTTCGTTGGCGACGTCGTCGTCGTCGTCGTCGTCGTCGGCATCGGCGTCGTCGTCGTCTTCGTCGTCGTCGACGTCAGCGTCGTCGTCGTTGCCGCCGCCGTCGTCGTCGTCACCGTCGTCGTCGTTGTCGGCGTCGTTGACGTCGTCGTCGTCGTCGGTGTCGTCGTTGTCGTCGTCGTCGGCGTCGTCATCGTCGTCGTCGTCGTTGTCATCGTCGTCGTCGTCGTCGGTGGCGTCGGCATCGTCGTCGTCGTCGTCGGTGTCGTCGTCGTCGTCGTTGTCGGCGTCGTCGAAGTCGTTGGAGACGTCGTCGGTGTCGTCGTAGTCGTTGCGGGCTCGCGCGGCCGCAAAGATGTACCAACCAACACCCAGCACTCATCGCAATCGTTCCCGCATGGGCTTTGCAAACCAAGTTGCGGGTGGATGGATGGGATGATTGCGCGCGCAGTGGAGTTGACAACTTCAAGGTCGGCAAGTGAATTGCACCGCGTAGATTGCACCAGACATGTTGCACAACATAGATTCTCCGTTCGAACGAAATATTGGGATCGAACCCCGCATTGTAATTTACGTACTGTTCCGCCCCATCACCCATCCAAAATACGGACCCATACCATCCCAGGCAGGCTGGCATCGACCCCCCCTCATCCTCTGCAAAAGATACTATGCGCGCACACTCGTTTATCACAAATCAACTGTTTTCGAAAACCCCTTGCAACCAGAACGGCCCAAGAGTCCCCCAAGACCGCAAGGAGCCCCAAGACGGCCCAAGAGGCCTCCAAAATGCCCCAAATGGCATCCAAGACGACCCTGGAGCACCCCAAGAGAGCCGTAAGTCGGCCCAGAGAGGTCCCCGAGACGGCTTCCGACGGCGCCAGACGGTCCAGGAGCTCACCAAGACGGCTCAAGATGGCTCCAAGATGGCCCAAGAGACCCCTAAGAGGTCTCCAAGACGGCCCAAGAGGCCTCCAAGAGGGCATCCAGGAAGGCCCGAAGAGGCCACAATCAATGAGTTTCCTTGAGTGCCGACGGGCCCAAGAGCCCCCAAAGATCGCCCGAAGATCACCCAGGAGGCCTCCACGATGGTCCCAGAACGGCCGAAGAGGCCTCCAAGACGGCCCCAAAGGGGCCCCAAGACGGCTCAAGAGGCCTTCAAGACGCCCAAGATGGCCTCCAAGACGGCGCTGGAGCACCCAAAGAGGCCCCCAAGACGGCCCCAAAGGGGCCCAAGACGGCCCAAGAGGCCTTCAAGACGCCCAAGATGGCCTCCAAGACGGCCCTGGAGCACCCAAAGAGGGCCACAAGACGACTTCCGACGGCGTCAGACGGGCCAGGAATGCCCTAAGACGGCCGAAGAGGGCCCCCGAGAAGCCCCCAAAGGCCCCCAGCACGCCCAAGGAGGCCCCCAAGATGCTTCCAAGAGGCTCCCAGGAAGCTCCCAGGAGGCCTCAAGAGTGCCCCCAGAAGATCCCAATATGTCCCCATCTTCCTCCTTTTCCACTCCCTCCTCCTCCATTTCCTCTTCATCCTCCTCCTCCTCCTCGTCCTCCTCCTCTTCCTGATCTTCCCCGCCATCCTCCCCCAAGTGTTCCCCGAAGGGTCTCCACAACGGCTGGGGGAGCACATGGTCCGATAGCTCGGCAGAGCCCCTGCCACAGCGCTCGGCCACGTGGGCGACTCCAAAAGGCAAGAGGGCGGCGGCGACTCGCCGCAGGCGTCGTCGATTGGATGTCAAAACCGATCAAAAGCAGCGCGCACAGAAGTGCACCGACGAAACACACCCGTGAGCCAGGAGTGGCCGCGGACGGCCTCGAGGCCGCAGCAGGCACCCGACCAGCACATGCCCACCGAAGCTCATGACGCGTGCGCCGACCGGCCCCGACGGAGCTCCTCGA